TATTTAATATTGTGTTTAAAATAATTAATAAAATTAGTCCTCTTTGGTTGACAGAAGCTCCAGAAATATTTTGTGTACTTCAATTAATTGATTCTCAAGTTTTTGGTCCACAACTGATTTGTATTATCAGATAGTCAATTTGATGATCATGTGTCACTCATTTAACTTGTCATTACTTTGCTTGATATTTAAAATTAAATAGTAAATAGAAATTGATCTTCAAAATTGTTTATAAAATCCAATAAATTCATAATTCTTTTTGTTTTCAAGTACAAGATCATGGTATAGTTATTCAATATCTTTGCATATTTTTTATTTCAAACTAGTGTAATCTTATGAATTTTATTCTACATTGTTAAACCTATTTCAACATCAATAAATGTGTTTTATAATCAATTAAATCTCAATTGTTTTTTATGAAATAAAAACTTTTTGAATTAAATATCATTTATTGTATTTTCTTTTTCTTCAATTATTTTCAATGAAATTGTAGTAATAAATCTTATTCTTCACTTGACATATTATTGAGAAGTTCGATGAAAACTCGTTGTTACGGTATAAAAGAATTGAAGGAAATAAATAAGACAAGAGACTTTTAATAATATTTTCAATAATGAAAGCTAATCATTCTGGATGACCAAAAAGTGTTTATTCAGTTAGAATGTTAGATTTGTTTATCTTTCATAAAATTTAGCCCACTAGATACAAGTGGCCACCATTGTGAGTGTTATGGTTTATACAAATTCCTTTTTTATCGTACGTCTTGACAAATGTGCCTCATAATTCGTTGCACGTCTTGATATTTTATTCCTATAAACAAGTCATTTTCTTTAAATCTCATCATTGTTTTTTTTTGTATCTGTTGTAATGTTTTATTTTTTCATTGATATTTATTGTTGTAAAATAGTTTGTAGATAAAAAATATCAAATTCATCAGTCTTCGAAAATTGGTCCTTTCGAATAATTGGAAATAAATAAACAACAGTTAAAAGTAATAATGTAGATTATTTTAAATAAATGGCTTTCTTTTTTATAAAATAGTCTGAATTAATTTTTTACAAAGCTTTCATAAATTTAAATAGTCAAAAAACACTGCGAATCCACACAGCACAATTGAACTGTCACGAGAACCGAGAGACGACTGAACTCAACTACTACGTAAGGACGTGTAGCCTCGTCCACCCCTCTGCTCTTGCCCTCTCTCATCGACCAGTCCTATTCGTTCTCTCTTTCGATATATAGGTATTTTGTTCGCGCAAGCCATCTTCTATCCACCCCTCGGCTCTTCCACTAGATAAACTAAATCCAACTATGTTTTTTCCTCTATCCTTCTTATCACATCTTATCTTTTATTCTAATCCTATATCGTCTGTATATCCTTAAGCTTTCAAGCAAAAGCTTGTCATGTGTTCAATATCAAATCTTCTAGGATAATGAATGGGTTTACCATAAATAATAATAAAGTTCTTTTTAGTTTAAAAAAATTTCTTGTACTTTTAGCTAATTGGTTGAAAATATTTTTTTTATAACTTTATCAAAGTTTTTTTACTTTATCAAGTTGTTAATTAATACTCAGAGTATATATAATTTTTTTTTCTTATAAAAAAAAGATTAATTAATAACAAATCAAAACTTAATAAACAGTAACATTATTTAAAATAAAAAGACGTTAATAGACGTAATAAATGTATAGTTTAATTTTTTATTAGACAGAATAGAAATATTGATTGGGGACAATTTTATTATATAATTTGTTTTTCCTTTGAATTATTTTTTTTTAAAGCAATCATTTTTAAGAAAAACAATGATCTTGAATTAAATATTACATAGAAACAAAATTGAACCCTATTTTGTTTTTAATTCAGCAAATGCACACATGATTAAAATTGAATACAGAATTTTTTAAATTATCGAGTCTTTTAAATGTATTGCATAAATTAAACAATACTTTCATTAGCTAATGTTAGCTGAAATAAAGCACGGTTCGTAAAACTTTTATTCATTCAACCTACTTCTACATTTTCTACTTTGCATGAAAAAAATTTTAACAAAAATATTTAATCATTGAAGAATATTTTTTTCAATAATATATATAATTGTCAATAATATGGAATTGTGTCCATAACAATTGAACATTGTTACTAACAAGTGATTATTGATTATAGTAATATTTAAATAATAAGTTTTAAATAGTTATAAACAATAAAAATAGGGACCTTTTCTATATGTATGAGTACTTTTAACGCATAATTTTTTCCTTTACTAAAAAAATATTACCAACCGTATCAGATAAATGAAAACATACTTTTTTCGTGTATAACAATGAAATTTGTTGTAAAAAATGAAAAAAAGGATCTATGAGGTATATTCGAATTCTTCTAACGCACAATTTTTTCTTTTACTGAAATAAAGTATCTAACCATATCAAATGAATAAAAACAGACTCATTTCGTTTATAACAATTCCATTTGTTATAAAGAATGGAAACGGGTTCTATTCGAATTGTTTTTTTCCACTGGGAAGTTGGTCGTGTGGACCTTTTTTTCATTTGATATTATTTCCTCGTTATATTGTTTATATTGTTTTAAAAAGATAAATTTATTTACTACTACCGTCAATACTACTACGATTATTATTGGTGTGTAGGAACAAATAAAATAGAAGCGAAATAATAAAATAAGAATGAAGTCATTGGCTTCAGTTACTTGACAGTACATATCCGGTGCGCAGTTTTAATAAATATTACAGCGGAAACGATGGTCTGGAGAAAACCAGACTCACTTCTTTAAATAGCATTCGCAACATCTCCATTTTAGTCTACTTGCATATGGTAAATTGGAATGTACAAAGTATAAATAACATTTTTATTGTTTTGAGTACTCTTGATTTAAAAATATTAGTAAACAAAAAACACTCGTATCTTTTGCTTTCTTTTTTTGAGTTTTTTTTTTCTCAGTCATTTTATTTAATTGAATAAAATTGTTATAAAAGGTTGTATTATAATATTATAACTATGAAAAACCAATATAACAGGTATTCTGATAAGCCTTTATAAAGATATCCTGCGAAGAAAATTATAGAGGAAATCCCTATTATTAATAGACTTTTCATTAGAATATAATTAAAGATAAAGTGTCAATTGAGATACGATTATGATTTTTGAATTTTTAAAACTAGGTTTACGTAAATTTAAATTCAAAATTATATATCTAAATATAACTTGAAATTAAAACTAAGATAATACGAAAATATTAATAAAAAATAAAATTGAATGAAGGTTTGACATTTCCATATACAGATTGAAACTAAGATAATAATCATTCGACTCATTATTGTGTATATTTAGTTTATTTTTGATGCCATCACTTATCACCTTTCCTTCTAATATCCTAATACTTATTTAAATTGACAGATGCCATTAATGTTAAAATTTTTTAAGAAAGAATATGCGTACAATGAATATGATGAAATAATAATAAAAATTATACACTGACTTTTTATTATTTAAGAATTTTACGATATTTTAAGTAATATCAAAAATAGAAACATGAATAATGAACATCCCATATATGTAATACTAACTGTTCTTGAAGAATTTTATAAATTCATCCAGGAAAAAGGTAATTTAATCATAAAAAAATTAAGTTTTAATAAAATGAAAAAGTTTCTATTCATCATTGCAGAGAGATTTTTCATTTATTTGAATAATTAAGAAACGAAAGAGAAAAAAGCTAAAAGGAATCTTACTATTTACATTAGAAACAGAAATGTTTTGATTCATGTTATGCAAATGTTAAAATATTCATTAAAATAATATATAACGAAGCTAAAATAACATTTGCCTGTAACTACGTTAAATATACTTTTGAAAATATTTGCTGAGAGGAATTTTTTTCCATCTTTTTAGTGTTCTAAAATAGAGTAATAATGTTCGTTGATGACATTTGTCATTTTTTTATTGTCAAATAAAATGATGATTAAATCTCATTAAAATTTTAAACATTTTATCAACAACTTAATGCAACTGATAAATACAAATTTATGTTTTATATTCCACTATAAAACAACCGTAAACTTGATGTCTATTCAAACTTTAATGGGATCTGATAATGGTATTATTTATGAAATACAATGTGATATATATGTCACAGTCACAGAAAGATTTAAAGGAATAGAACAAATAAATTATCATGAAAGAAGGAAACATCTTCCCTAAGTTGATTTGCATGTTAGCAGGAAGAAAGATCTACAATGAATAAACTCCATAGTTATTCTAAGAGTATAGAATAATAGCTACATAACATTGTAACCAGATATTGATTACAAACTACACGAATAAATATTAGGAATGTAAATTTTCTCACTCGAGCTACGATACGTCTAAAGATGATATCATTATTGCTAAAAGTAAAGTAATTTAGTATTCTATCTTCTAACTAGCTCACTTCAAATAATTTCTGATTTATGACTTTTTCGCAGAAATTGAATAATTAAATTATTCATGGAAATTCTGTTAATGATATGTAATTGTAATAAAAGATTTTTAATTTCCTAATGTAATTTCATTGCTCTAATGGTATATTTTGCATAATAATTCGTATAAATTGAGCACTATTGAGTGATCACTGTATCAAAATATTACGAATTAAATTTATAAAAAAATCTTTCAATAAAATTTATGTTTGTGCTGGACAGCACTTTGACCAATGAATTAATTCAACTTCATTTAGTGAAAATGTAAACTCTAATATGTAGAGACACACTACGTATGGTAAATTCAAATACAGTACACCTGTATCACAAATTAACATTTGCATAATTCAACTGTCAAAGCCAATTCATTGTTGATCAATAGCTTGGAAACTATCACAAGTGCAGTGTAATATGAACATATGTTTTCAATCAACAAATATTAATAGACCCTTCCATTAGAATTGATTTCTACAAAGGTTGTAGAAATTACTGTATTGTGACTTTAAATAAGAAAAACTTGGACTTACCACGATTTGACGGGTGATTCATAAGAATAGCTAAAGGACACTCGTCGTCATCAAGTATGTATTCTTGATGATTATTTCCATTAGTGACTTCTCCATTTACCTGAAAATGTATATAATAATATTTATTATAAATTATTAGTTTTAATTTTTAAGATTTATAGTTGTTATTAGAAATAATCAATACTTTACAATTATTTACATATTAGCATTTACGAAAATAAAAAAATTTAATGTTTTCAAATTGATATTGACTGTTTAAAGGTGCATCGATAAGGGATGTTTTTGATGGTAATGGTAATATAGTTATCAAGAATATCCACTGCGACCATATTTTACCGACAGAGTATAAATTGATATAAAGTTTATTATCACAAGATGATCAAATTCATTTTTGAAAATTAATTGAAATTCTAAAAAAATCGTTTTTTTTTCATGAAATACATAGATTTTTGCTCAAGAATAATAAATCATTATTCATTAAAAAACATGACAAGTAAATTGTACACGTCATCATAATAGAAAGACAGATATTACACATTTGAATTTTTTGTCAAAGGATAAATAAAAATGATATTTTATAAATGATCTAAAGAATTGACATATATAATAATGTTTGCATAATAAGTCGTAAAAATAATCGGATAACAAGTTTTAAATGAATTTTATACGTCTATATGAATAAAAACTCGAGAGTTACAATAGAGTTCTCACCTGTACCAAACAATACAGTTGGGGATCCACCTTGTCAAGACCATACTTGGAGAGCATTTCTCTGACTACCTGAGCTGCTGAGTCCCTCACGCTTAATAAAAGCGTTTTGTAGGGTACATCTTTGCAAAGAGCTTCACCATAAATCTTAAGGGTCCCTCCAGTGTCCGGACCACCGTCTTTACTCCGAAATTGCTGAAGTTTCTTCTCTAATTTTTGCTGACGACGACGTCGCATCACAGCTTCTGGATTTGAAATACTCCGAGTAAAACTTGTCTCTGGTAGCTCTGTTCAAACATAATTAAATTTTACTAACTTTGTCGTCACTCAGCTATGAAATATGTTAACAACTACAAATAAAATTATTTATATTTATTCTTTATCTATTTTTTTTATCAAAAATATCTACTTATAAAAGTAGATAATAAAGCATCGATTCATGAGGAAACTTAGCAACGCAAACTTGTTAATCGATTATAGTTCTACATTCAGGTAAGTCTAAAACCAATAGTATATTTAATCTAAACTTAAAATTAGGAGATTTTAACTAAAATATTGTATAAATTGACAATAAAAAATGATGCATAACGGGTCTATGAAATAGATTTGATAAATTTTATAGCAAATGATTGAATCACTTCATCATGATATTTAGATGGTAAATCTTTCATGTGATGGTTGTTATTTTATATGTAGCATTAGTTACTGTGTTACATGAATATGAGAATAAATTTGATATAATGAATACACTTATAAAATAAGTTTTAAATTGCTTAAAAACCGTTACCTCTTATTTGTAGTAGAATAATTTACCTGTATAAAGTTTTTCTGCAACACCATTTTGATCAACAGGAGCAGTATTTTCGTCCTGCTCAAGGCTTTTAAGGCGACTGAGCTTCTCTTGTTTCTTGATCTGCTTTTTCTCTCGTTTGCTTAATTTCCTACGAAAACTTGTACCTTCACCAAAGCCTACTCCTTGAGCATTTGTTTTGTCATCTATTCGTCTCAGTAAAAAACGTCCTTCACGATCATCAATATGCCAATTTAGCTGAACAAGTAGTGGTTTTTCTTCAAGGCCTAATTTTCTTTCTTCTGTAAAATACGCATAGAAACTTGATAGGTTCGAATGTAATAATCAATAGTATATAAGAAGTGAAAGATAGAAAACTGACCTCCATTCTCGTGGATTTCATAAAGTGCATACTCAGGAACTGAAAGCATACGCATATCTGGTCGGAATTTTTCGATAAGGGTTTCGATTACAGCTTGACTGGTTGCATCAGATGCTACTCGGATGCATTTTGTAGCGACTTTTTGTCCACTGTCTTGGAAATAAAACCTCATTACTCCATGGAACTCCAAATCCTAGAATAGCAAAGAATATTTTATTGTATGAACATAAACAAATGGTTAATGATGCGGAATGAGGAATGAGAAACTTGAAAAAATTAAAAAGAATGACAAAGGTTCACAAAAGGTATTTTGTAGTAAGAAATAGGTATTCTTTTTAATTGACAAAAAAAATGTGGTAAGACTGTTTGCTACTTTTTATTCTTAATCCTCTCAAATAAACTTGAATTATAATTGGCGGAAAAAATTGTTATAAGATGTTCTCTTTGTGTGTCAAAAAAATTTTTGGGTAAATATTTCTACGTAAATAAAAAGTAAAGCGTCTACTTTAATAGCTGATCCCCATGGTCTTTCATTTCCCCTTTGATTATATCAAAGAGGGATCCAGGGCAAAACAGCCCTCGGGAAGGAACGTTCCATCATCTTTGAAAATTGCAATGATTTCTATTCATCTCGAAGCTAGAATTGTTATTTACCTATTCAAGATCATTAAAGCAAATACTAAGATGGAAATCTTAAAATTCTATGCAATAAAAATTTACAGTTTTGCAGTCGTTAAAATCGTTAAAGAGACTACTTTTTACCAGATTCTTTAACAATAATTTTAAATGATGCTTTCAGCATATCTAGAATTTTTCTAGTACTAAATTGGAATCATTAAAAGTTATAAAATGTTCTATTTACCTCGTTTGGTTCTGAAAGTTCGAAAAGATCTAATCGATTGGCGTTCCATTGTTGAATAACACCTCGTAAGGCTTCTCTTTCAGCCTTTTTATTTGCTGCTTCAGCAGCCATCCTGCAAAAAAAATGAAATAAATTATTGAAATATGATGTAGAAAAAAATATAATCTAATAATAAATTCTATGCTATTATATTTCATTTAAAATTATCATTTTTTCCTTTTTAGATAAAACAATTCATAAAAAAATGCAAAAGTATTCAAGATCGAAAATAAAATAAAATCTCATTGAAAAGCTATAATAGAATAGTATAATCAAAAATGAATTGCAGTCAAACTAAAACCCGTAAAACCACGAGTTGGACGCCGAATGGCTAACAAAATTAGTTCCAGAAGACTGTCTTAAAAAGAGGCTAGGGTAGCATACATCAACTCATATGCAGTTAACGGTCAACTCCGATGGTTGTTATGAACAATGGTTCATACGTTTACATGTCAATGGATGTTATGGAGTGTAAGTACGTTCACCAAAAGTTATTCTCTCTATCATTCATCTCATTTTAATATCTCCGTCTTTTTTTTTTTTATTTATGCAAACTTATATTAGTACACAATACATCAAGGTTGCCACACCCTATATATTAATAGATGGCAGGTTCTCATGTTATGTAAATAATCATTCTGCTATTAGCAAATTCTCACATTTTGTTCTGGATTTCGTTAAGTGGTTATCATGCATGACATCTTTGATTGAATGGATCAATAATTAAAAAATTACCGGTATGTTAGATCCTTTTAGAGAAATTAAAAGCTGTAAAGTGTAAAATACTTTCATTTTTACATGTTATGGTCCAATATAAACATCTCTAAAAACTTTTCTGCATATTTTAAATAGTTGTAATGTTGATTGAATAATTTTAAAACCGTTTAAATATACTTTTATATAACTATTATCCATGAGTAATAGTTAATATTTAACATTAAGTTCTGTAAGAAAGTATTAATTTTAATAAAAAAAAATATATTTTATGTTAATAAATATATTTTTTTCATAATTTATACATAAATAGAACAATAATGGTTATTTTAAAACTCAAAAATGTCAAAAACTTCTTCGAAGAAACAGAAAACTTTGGAGTACTTGAATCATACAAAGAAGAAATATCTTGGCACAATGAAGCTCTGTTAAGTCATTTCCAATAACGATTATTGTTATGATGAATACATTCAGAGTACACTCAATGTTTTCTATATAGTATCGATGAAAAAATTCGATAGTACACAGTAGCATTAACAATCATAGGAATGTCGGCTGAATATCCTGTACGCGGTGACACGTATTTTACATGCCTTTTTACATACACGACTGGAATGATAATTAAGGTTAAACAACTTAATTGTCACTGATGTATGGATATTAACTTGATGCGTGAGGCTATGAAAAATATTTATCAGATTCTGCAACAATAAAATAATTCAACTTTCTCTTGTTGAGTTAAAATTATTTTACTTTAAACATGGAAACTAATAGATTACGTTTAAATTACAACAATAGGTGCTACATAAGATAAAAGTTCATTCTTGTTACATAAGATTGAAATTAAATAAATCACCTATAGCAGCAATGAGTGAAGAAAGTAAAGACTAAAGAGCTTCAAATGCAGTCATTCTAAAATTTCTCATGCTATTTTATTATAAAATTTGTCTATTAATAGGAATGAAATGCTGTGGGATAGTTGGTGTGCTACAATTAGTTACAATCCATTGTATATGAGATGGCTAATTGTCGGAAAAAGTCATTTCCTTTTTTAAAAGCATACGCAAAATGTCTCAAAAGAATAATCTCGTGTGTGCAACTTATAATTTCACCTGTTGCTTCACCTTGACGCTGAAAACTCTTTTTTTTTTGAATTGTTCTTTTCTTTATCAACACCTACGTAAAAAAGTCTTTACCAAAATAACTTTCAACTCTAATAAATTTTCAACCACTTATTTTGATTTTTTTCAAATTATTTATACCTTTTTATCAACTATACCTCCAAGTTAATCGAAAACAATCATTAACTTTCTAATGAGTAATTTCTGAGATTTAAACAATTTGTCAATAAAACATTACTCTTTTCTTAATTACATAATTAAGATCATTTTTTTTGGTAGACAATTAGTTAAAGTGTTTTAGTAAGAATGGAAATACTAGGAGAAAATACTTTGAACATATTAGCAAATATCTATCTAATCAACAATCTTGTTACCCTCAGGCTAAAATAGCGGCCAAATATGAAGTTGTTTTAAACGGAAATTACCTTCGATAAAGAGTAAATATAGTCTACGAATGAACTAATGTCTAACCGGATAAGGCAATTAATTTGCAATTATGAAAAAGATTGATGTTCAATAACTTCAAGATAGTGTTTCATTCTGGCATTTTATAAAGTAAAAGCTTAAAAAATAATTATCTCTGACAAAAAATTCTAAATTAAATAAATAAATGCAATTACAATCTAATTCAAACATTTTCTTTGTCTAACAGTTGAAATTCCAAACGTAAAATCATTAATGAGATTAGAATTATTTATTATAAAAAAATGAAAAAGATTAGAAACAAAGTTATTAAAACTGCTGGAGCAAATAGGTCAGGTCACTCCTCCCAACTGACTCAGTTTCATAGGAAGGCAATGGTTAACACTAAATAGAGCGAACATAATCTTTCCTTCCAAGCTACTATTCTCTTTCCGCGTATTCAATGACCGACGTTTCCTTTCTGTAACAATTAGTAGTATAGAAATGTGATATGTTACTAACTGAAGAAAAAGGGGAAGACAAGTGCACATACGATATCCTTTGTAGCCTTTACCACCAAATTATTCACTCCAAACCATCAAAAATATTGGAGTAAGAAGCCTTAGAAGTATCAAACAGTATAGTAAAATTTTTGAAATGTATTCTCTAGATGAAATAATATTAATAAATATCTATTCAATGCAGCATTATCTTCTATAATAATGTCATCAAATCATGATTCACCACTTGAATATAATTTGACATCTAACAGCAATTCTATCTTTGACATGAATGAACGTAGCTTTATTTCCTGCATTTGAGATGTTGAATGAAGAAAAATTTTTAATGAATTTTTAAAAGGAAGTTTTCTTTATAAAATAACTATTTCAGTTTTTGGATAAGTAAAAAAATATGCCGTCTTATGGAAGTAATATATGCCTGAAGCGTCGATTATACGATGCAAGGTGTTTTCCAAGAAGAAAAAATAAGTAAGCAAAGGCGTCGTAGTTGAGCTGTCGCAAAATTATATGTATATTTAATTTCAAAAACTCTCTTATCGTACTAAATACAGCGTCAGTTGACTCAATCCTGTTACAAACTCTCTTAATTTTGCATTCAAGCGTGATTCCGTTAAAGCCGGAAACCTCAGACATAAAAAATTTTTAGCAATAAATAATCTTCAAGATAATATTTACATTTAATCATTTATGACTTGCAGTAAATTTCACTTTCTCACGACACATAAACGTCTATCAGAAGCTTTTAGCCAATAATATTAGTTTTGAATTATTATGTAACTTACTCTTCTGGTACGGTCATATTAAACTGTGCAGACGTTTAAATGATGATAACTATAATGATAATAATTTAAGTTTTCCCAGAAACTGATAATGATTCTATTGAATTCACAAGTATGATTGAAGAAAAAAAAACAATGTTTACTTCAGCGGCGAATTATAAACAGCCTAAAAACACCACATGAAAGAGGTATTTCTTTTTTATATTTATTTCATCTCATTCACTTCATCAAACAACACTTATCAGTTCGCGAAGTATATCCTCATCAACTGCTTCAAATTCACAGAAAACTAACAATGGAATCCACTATTCCATCACCATCATTTTAACTAGTTACCAGTAAAAGCATCTTTGATGCTTTGGACCTACATACACATACACACACATAAATAAGCACAGGTTATTGATGCACAACTGTATCAATTTTATTTATTACATTCTATTAATTATATTATTACGGCGTATTCGCCAAGCTAGAAATCGCAAAGAAGCGGCGAAAAAAATTAAAAAAGAGAAAAAGAGTAATTTTAAAAAAGTCCAAAACATTGTTGTGTTTCACCATACGAAACTACACTGAGTACAGTTGAGTCACCAACGCACATTCAAGTATTTCGACTGTAAGCAGCCGGTTTCGAAGGGGTCCCAAAAAGTGGGGGAGTTTAGAGTGCACCATTTACACTAGACTTGATGGACGCTTCGTTGAACTTCCCTTATTTCCCACTACTCTCACTTTTCCTGAGTTGTTTCAATCGTCCGCAACCTGGCGGGTCTCGGGGTACTGACACGTTGGAATGTTCCTACGCGCATGTATACGACCAAGTTTCAACGCCAACCGGTATCTCATCGGGCCCAACAGAACCTACAATTCCATGGATAGTGGGGATGAAGGTAGAAAACAGACCCAAAAGGTGTAGTGGGGAGGTCAGAAAATATGCTGGATGTTGGATTGAAGTTGTGTTAGTATTGCAGATCATGACTATATGTATACACAATGAAGATCCTAGATGGAATTCCATGAGTAAGACTCCGTAAAAAAAAAAAGAAACAGATACTACACATCGTAGAGTGAGCATTCGTGCGTAAAAAAGGTTTCTTATTTGAAAATTATCATGAAAATAACTATTAGTAATTTTTTAACGGTAGGAATTATGAATTATGGTTGAGTCAATTATTTTACTATACGACTGAATTATTCCAAGTTGTATTCTATCATTTTTTTAACACACACAAAATTACTATTTTCTTGAATGTATAAATAATTTTAGCACACCAAAACATGATTTTGAGTGATTATAGTATACTTTATGTCCATAATTGATTTTAAAATAATTATTTAAATTATGCCATTGCGTGTCTTCTTATTTCAACGGTGAAAATCACAAAGAAAAAATAATGCAAGATGTTGATAATAATTTAACAAAGAAATCATTTTATTTTTAACTCAAATGTATTTTTAGATATTCTTTCACGAATACATTTAATAATATCTGCCATTCTGTTTATATCAAATGAATTATATTTAATATTTGCATTAATG